AGTGCAATCCAAAGTTTTTGGTATGTTTTAAATTCCCTAAAACTCTACAATTGCCTTCCAATGCTCAGTGCTTGGATTACTCGTATATCGACTTAGCCTACTAATAGAGTAAGCAATATCAGGTCGAGTGCAGTTCATGACATACATTAAACTGCCAATAATACGAGAGTATTCCAATTGAGACTTACTATCACCAGTATTGGAAACAAGATGCATGCTTGCATCCATAGGTGTTTTCATAGGGATAATGTTATATTTCTTGAATTTATCAAGAATCTTCTCAATGTAGTGTGATTGAGATAAAATGAGACCTTCCGATGTTCTAGAAATTTTAATTCCTAATATAACATCGGCTATTCCCAAGTCCTTCATTTCAAACTTACTTGTCAACATCTTTTTAGTAGTTTGAATTATGGTATCATTATTACCCATAATCAGCATGTCATCTACATATAAACATACCATGACATATCCATTTAGAGTGCTCTTGACGTACACACATTTGTCACACTCATTAATTTTGAAACCATTTGACATCATTACTGTGTCAAATTTTTCATGCCATTTTTTAGGAGCCTGTTTTAATCCATAAAGTGATTTAACAAGTCGACACACTTTCTTTTCTTGTCCTGGGGCCACAAAACCTTCAGGTTGTTCCATATAAATTTCTTCATCTAAGTCACCATTTAGAAAAGCCGTTTTAACATCCATTTGATGTATATTCAAGTCATTTAACGCTGCTATCGCAATAAGCATACGTATGGAAGTAATCTTTGTTACTGGTGAATACGTATCGAAATAATCAAGACCTTCTTTTTGCTTGTAGCCTTTAGCGACAAGTCTAGCTTTATATTTGTCAATTGAACCATCCGCTTTCATTTTCTTTTTGAAAATCCATTTACACCCCAATGGTTTATTACCGGGTGGAAGGTCTACTAATTCCCATGTATGATTTTGTAGTATGGATTCAATTTCACTGTTAACTGCTTCTTTCCAAAAGGAAGCTTCAGTTGATGACATAGCCTCTTTAAAAGTTTGAGGTTCATTTTCTAATAAATATGTTAGAAAATCGGGTCCAAATGAAGTTTTCGTCCTAGTCCTCTTACTTCGTCTCGGTTCTTCTTCATTTATTGATTCTTGATCTACGGCCTCATTATTATCACGAGGTCTTTTTAGTGAATTTGACTCACTTTGCAAGTTGTAAGGAAAAACATTTTCTAAAAATGTAGCATCCCTTGATTCAATAATCGTATTAACATGCACGTCGGGTATTTCAGACTTAAATACCATAAATCTGTATGCACTACTATGATAGGCATAACCAATGAATACACAATCAACTGTTTTCGGTCCTATCTTAACCTTTTTAGGTTTAGGAACCGCTACCTTAGCCAAACATCCCCATACCCTTAGATATTTATAGTTAGGTTTGTGACCTTTCCATAATTCATAAGGTATCTTGTGCGTTTTTCGATGTGGCAATTTGTTGAGAATATAATTGGCAGAAAGCAAAGCTTCCCCCCACAAGTTCTTCGATAATCCAGAACTTATCAACATAGCATTCATCATCTCCTTCAATGTTCGATTCTTGCGTTCAGCAATGCCATTAGATTGAGGAGAGTAAGGCGCTGTAGTTTGATGAATAATTCCATGTTCCGAACAAAATTGTTCAAACGGAGAATCATATTCACCACCTCTATCACTTCTTATTGCCTTAATCTTTTTGTTAAGTTGATTTTCAACCTCTAATTTATAGTGTTTAAACACTTCAATTGCTTCGTCTTTGCTTTTGAGTAAATACACATAGCAATATCGAGTGCAATCATCGATGAAAGTGATAAGGTACTTATTACCGCCTCTAGTTTGCACAAACTTTTAATGTCGGTGTGAATTAAATAAAGTGGTTCGATACTTCTTTCCATAGAACGAAAGGGTAAACAAGCCATTTTTGCTTCTATACATAAATCACATTTGTGATTAGGATCTAAATCACACTTTGGTAATAAATCCAATTTGATTAGTCTACGCAAAGTATTATAATTTACATGTCCTAATCGTTCA